AATGTGTCAGACTGCAAAGCCGTTTGAACTGCAATGTCAGTGGTTCAAGCTCACCAGCTGCTCCTTGGAAACCCTATACAGGGTCGTTATGGGTCGGAATCAACTCGATGGCACTTCACAACAACAGTCCATAATTCAGCTTTTACATGTACATGAAGCATTTGAAAGTACCATGCCTTGGATCACGGGCATCTTCGTCCTCAAACTAATATGTCTGCTCTTGATCATATTAAACAGGTCTTTTGTAGATCTGACCATTGCAATACATTGTTTGATTTCTTGAGTGCTGCTTCCTTTGGCACTGGTTGTAGATCCAAGTAAAATGAAATTACTGACAATTGCAGTATTTTCTTCATTTATCATGATGATGCTTACTGATCCTGCTATGAGAATTTTTTTTTCTTTCATGTTGAGGTTTTTATGTTGTGTCGTTGAGTCATTCCTGACTCATAGAAACCCTGTATAATGTTTCCAAGGCTGTAACTTTGTGAGAACAGAAAGACTCATCTTTCTCCTGCCAAGTAGCTGGGTGGGCCCAAACCACCGACTGTGGTCCACAGTGCAGTGCTTATCCATCTCGTTGAGGGTCTTCTGCTTTTCTGTTGACACTCCACTTTATCAAACATGTGATCCTTCTCTATAGTGTGTCCAAAGTATGAGAGACAAGGTCTGGCCACCCTGGTTTCTAAGGAGCATTCTGGCTGTACTCCTTCCAAACAGATTGGCTTGTTCTTTTGGCAATCCATAGTACTTTAATACTCTTCTCCAACACCATAACTCAAATGCATCATATTTTCTTTGAATCTTCATCAGTAAGTGTATTAAGTCCTTTTGATTCCAGCAAGACAAGGTTGTTATCATCTACATATCGCAGGTTGTTAATGAGTCTTGCTAAAATCCTGAAGCAGCGTGCTTTTGCACATACTCCAGCTTCTCAGATTACTTACTCAGCATACAGAATGAAGATGCATGGCAAAAGGCTCCAACCCTGACACATCCCTTTCCTGATTTTAAACCATTCAGAATCCCCTTGTTCTGTTCAAACAACCGTCTCTTGGGTTATTTACAGGTTTCCAGAATTCCCACTCTATGTAATATTATCCACAATTTGTTAGCATCCACACAGTCTTTAGAGAGTCAATAAAACACAGGTAAACATCTTTCTGGGATTCTCAGATTTCAGTCAAGATCCATCTGACCTCAGCAATGATACCCTTCATTCCATGTACTTTTCGGAATCCAGCTGAAATTCCGGCAGTTCTCTGCGTACTGCTGCAACCATCTTTGACTTATCCTCAGCAAAATCTTGCTTGCACATGTTATTAATGATGCTGTTGTTAACTACCATCAAGTCGGTTCTAATCCAGAGAGAACTGTATAGGGCTTCCAAGGAGTGGCTGGTGAGTTTGACCTACCGACCTGTGGTTCAAACCAACCTTTCAGCCCAGCACTTTAACCCACAGCGCCATACCAGACTCCCATATTATTAATGATTTGCTGTTGTTGTGAAGTGCCGTCGAGTCGGTGCCGACCCATAGCAACCCTGTATAGGGTTTCCGAGGAGTGGCTGGTGAGCTTGAGCCACTGACCTTGCAGTACAAATGACTTTGCAGTCTGGTGCATTAACTCACAGCACCACACCATTTCCACATTGTGTTTAATCACGTTTGGAATGGACTCTTCAATCTGAGTCTTTTCAGAGTAGCTGTCTTCCAACTTTCTTGACATAGACGAGTAAGCACTTCCAGCCATTTGTTAAAAAGTGTCACTTGGTATTCCATCAATTCCTACAGTTTTGCTTTTCACCCGTTTCTTCAGGGCAGCTTGGAATTCTCCCTTCAGCACCATCGCTTCTTGATTCTCTACTACCTCCTGAAACGGATAAATGCTGACCCATCTTTTGGTACAGTGATTCTGGGTATTCAATTCATCTGTTTTTAAGGCTAATTCTTAGTATTATTTTGCAGTGTTTTTTTTTTTTTTTTAATGAATGGAATAGTATTTTAACATAATTCTAATTAGGTATGTACCAAATGTATAGAAATATGATTTTATATATACTAATGGAGTCCTGGTATAGCACTGGGGGTTAATCGCTGGACTGCCATGTCAGTTTGAATCACAAGGTTGGTAGTTCAAGTTCACCAGCCACTTTTTGGAAACCCTATACAGGGTCACTATGGATCAGAACCAACTCGAAGGCCCTTAACAACATATATACTAGTATTCTTTTAATTTTACCTCATAAGCATTTTCCATGTAATTACAGCACAGGCTCCTCACAAGATTAAACTATGAAGTGCATTTATCATCGTTTACCTAAGCATTACCTTTCTGTTCTGTTTCAGTAGCTCCACACTGTGTTCGCTGAATTAAGTGTTATGGACATCTCTTGGGCTCCAATACTAGCCCTGGCAGCACAGTGCATTACACATTCTGGCTAACTGCAAGGTCAGGAGTTACAATCCACTGTGAAGATTTACAGCCTTGGAAACCCTACAGCCACTATGAGTCGGAACTGACTTAATGGAACGCACCAGCAACTCATCACAGGACCAAATGAACACCCATCTTGACTGTAGTTCAGTGCCGCCAATTCAGTCCCAACAGACTGTGGTGTTGCTGTAAAGTGACATGGAGTCACTACTTTCCAAGGAACAGTTGACGGACGAGAATTGCAGATCTTGTGGTTAGCAGTCCAGTGTTTATTCTATAGCACTACACCAGGGCAGACAAATTAAGTAAAATTCACAAACTGTCCTAGGGTTTCTCCCCTTGTTAAACTCCACAGGCCTTCAATTCTCTTGGAGAGGCTCTAATACAGGACAATTTTAGTGTCTGCTATTGTAATGGTACAGGCCAACAAAATGTATGTCACTAGTAACACAGTAGTGAGCAAAACAGACCTCCCTCAGGAGTACCAACCATGGCTCACAGACACGCCCCACCTATAAAAATGCACATGCCATTTCTAAACTATTTTGATAAAACTGGCTTCCATTCCATTTCAGATACAATCCAAATTCTTTTCCACAGCCCACAAAGCCCCTCACCTGGTTTTGCCTACCTTTCCATTATCATTCCCTGCCACACTACCCTCGCCCACTAGGTTTCAACCACTGTGCGAATATTCTATGTTCTTTCTACCACTGGGCTGTTTCACACGCTGTCCCCTCTACTCTTCAAAATCTCTACAGTCTTTCTACAGCTTAGCTTAAATGTTACCTCCTCCTGACCTTTTTTGGCTACTCTGTATCTACAGTAGGGGCTGCAATAGTATGCTCCATGATCACACTGAAGTTCATTGCTTTCATAGTATATATCACACCCGGAACTGCTGAATCAGGTAGCCTTTCTCTTCCCACTTAAGACAAAGTTTACTTTACTTGCTTGCCATTCTATCTCCAAGTGCTATCACAGTTCCTCGTGGGCAGAAAACCTGACACATCAACTGTATGCTGAAGTAATCTTTTATCTGCAATGTTATGTAACCTCCCTGAAACCTCCCTCTATAGTTAATTCATCTTAATTCAATCCTCGACAACTACTTTCTAAAAATTAATGTAAACTCTTCTGCACATGCATAAAACTTTAATAAATGTATTTTAAATAATCATTCTTCTTGTACTAGCGCCATCACTCAGCTGTTCTGAACTACAACTACCACAGGGACAGCAGTTTGAGAACACAAGCAACTCTTCGAGAAAGAAGAGGGTTCCTGCTCCCCCCAAAAAAACTTACAGCCTGGGAAACCGACCCAAAGACACAGAATAGCTGAGGGTATGGACGACTGAGTTACACCACCTGAGTTGGAATCTAATCAACAACACTTTCACACACTCACTTGTATGGCTTTTGACAAGTTATCAAGCCTTTCGTATGGGAAACTACGATAAGCAATTGCTTGAGAGAATTAACGGAGAAACACATGTGAAACACTTAATTACATCTGAATGTCCGTTGTCCAAACTTGTATTGCTGTCTCACCAGTTAGCCAGAGAAGGTCCTTGAAAGCGGTGACATATTTCATGATCCCTCTATGAGCCTACTTCATACAAAACTCAAATGTAGACTTAAAGTCATCATTCCCTAAGGCAGGCTGGGGTGCCCTTTCCACATATTCCCTTAACAGCCTCAACCTGAAATCCTGTGATTCACGCTAACAGCATTATTTCTACCACCTGCTTTATGTAGGCAGGTCTAACTAACCACGTTATCTCCAACACCTGCAACACCAACTACCTGATAATGACATTCATAAACTCCTCTAGGACTCCATATAGCCAGTAAGAAACTTTAAAAAATACATTGTTCAACTGTCTACTTCCCACTCCCCGACACTGAAAACTTGACAGTAAATTTCTGTCGTGTTCAATGCTGCAAGTAATATTCCCTACTAGATCTGCCACGAGAGACGCTCCAAAGTGTTTCTTAAATGATATTCTTGCTATTCTTTTCAGCTTTGTTGCTAAAATGGATGAATCTTGAAGTTCCCCCCCGCGAAAAAAAAAAAAATTCACCACCAATTATGCACTGAACGAATTATATACTGAGTGATTGAATGATGTCAGTGTCAGAGCCTGAAAGAAAATAACAGCAACATGATAGCTGTAGTCTTGGACAGGTGGCTGTGAGCACTGTGGGTAGGGATTCTTGCAGTTGCTGTTTGGCTACATGCACTTTTTTAGTTCCCAAGTTCTCCAGAGTGTGGTTATGGTAGTAAACAACTGGAGCTTTTTCTTTACGTAAAACATCGTGACGAAGAGTAGCAGTCACCTCTCCCTTCCCTCTTCTCTCTCGCAGAGGGGAATGAGAAACGCGACAAGAGGCCGAGCGGCAGTCTCAGTGCCGCCACGTTCTCTCACAACCAGGCGGCGGGTGACTCAGAGAGCAGTCCACCGCGCACAACCGGAAGGCATTAACCCTGCAGAGACGTTCCCACCGGCTCCAGTGCCACAGTCCGGCTCTCTGAGAGCCCTATCCCACTGACCCGCACTCACCACCAGCGAGGCCGTGAACCCTGGTCGGTCCATGACCCCACACATCCGTCAAGGCTATCAATTCAACTTGAACAAAGCTACGCGCCGGACCCACACGCAGGGCGCCGCCATCTTGGAGGAGAGGCCTGAGAGGGTTTGCACTTCCGCGGTCACGTGACGTCATGTCACAACAAATACACGTGCAAGCCTCGGAAGTAAGGCTGAATCTCACGCCAGGGAGAAAAGGCGGGGCTTGGCACCTTTTCTAGCTTTGTGATTGGACTCGAAGAATGAACTATCGCGATCAAAAGAGCCTAGGCGGCGATTATGGAGTCCTAAACTTTGCAGTAGGAGCTCTGGTAGCGTAGTAGTTACGAATCGGGCTGCGAACCTTAAGGTCAGCGGTTCGAAACTACCAGCTGTTCCGCGGGAGAAAGATCAGGCTTTCTACTCCCGTAAAGATTTACACCCTCGGAAACCCTGTACAGGGTCGCTATGGGTCGAAACCGACTCGACGGCACTTAACAACAACAACAAACTTTGCAGTAAATGCAGCTAGAATATAAATTGCTTTCTCAGAAGAGCTGTTGGTATTGCGGAGGAAGGGGCCCTAAGGGTTGATTTCCTGTAATCGGATGCTAAGTCTGTTATTTTTTATATAGCTTTATCTGTAAAACTTTGTTACGAATTTCTGTAAAATAAACTCATTGTCAGAAAATTGTTAAAAGTTAAATAAATTTCTTTTTGTACCTAAAAAAATACCATCTTCCACTTCACTGATAGTTATATTGTTAGCTAAGATTTTGAATCGTTTGCTATAAGGACCTTGTATAGAGTTTCCAATGAGCGGCTGGTGTGTTTGAACCACCGACCTTGAGGTTAGCAGTCTAGTGTTTATCCTATAACGTACACTGGACTCCAATTTTGCTCATTTATTTACTCATCTTGTTCACTCTGTATCAGTGTGCACACCTCCAAGCCTAGTATGTATTGCATAGTTAATATTTCTATAGTACTGAAGTGGCGCTGTAGGATAAGCACTGGATTGCTAACCCTGCTTCAAACCAGCCAGTCTCTCCTCTGAAACCCCACAGAGGTTCACTGAGTCAGAACAGATTCAAGGACAAGCTTTCATATGTTAAGGGCCAACTACATCTCAGATGGAGTCTCTTGGTGGTACCTAACCTAACATAGTGCACTGTACAGACTCATGAACTAAATAAATGTCTATTATTGTTGGCCTTCTTTCTTGTCTTCTTAGTGACTTTTTGCTCTCTTCATGTATGATGTTCTTGATGTCATCCCACAACTCTTCTCGTCTTCGGTCTTTTGTGTTTAATG